AGGTGACCTGCCCACCTCGGTCTCCCCAAATGCTGGGATTACAGGCATGAGCCTGGCAAGACTGTGGCAATTTCTTAAAACAACAGTGAAGCTTGCCACATTGATGGGCTCTTCCTTTCACAAAAGATTCCTCTAGTATGCAATGCTGTTTGATAGCATTTAACCCACAGTAAAACTTTCAAAATTGGAGTCAATCCTTCTTCTCAAACCCTGCCACTGATTAAGTTTATATAATATTCTAAATCCTTTGTTGTCATTTCAACAATATTCACAGCATCTTCATTAGCACAGTGCATCTCAAAAGAAACCACTTTCTCTGCTCATTCATGAGAAGCAACTCCTCATCCACTCAAGTTATCATGAGATATCATGCAGCCATTCAATCACATGCTCAGGCTCCACTTCTAGTTCTCTTGCTATTTCCATGACATTTGCAGTTACTGCTTCCACTGAAGTCGTGAACCCCTCAAAGTCATCCACTGGAGTTGGAATCTAATTCTTCCAAACTCTTGTTAATGTTGATATCTTGACCTGCTCCCATGAATCATGAATGTTCTTAATGGCATCTAGAATGGTGTATCCTTTCCAGGTTTCAATTTACTTTGCCCAGATCCATCAGGGGAATCACTATCTATGGCAGATATAGCCTTATGAAATGTATTTTTTTTTTTTTTTGAGACGGAGTCTCGCTCAGACGCCCAGGCTGGAGTGCAGTGGCCGGATCTCAGCTCACTGCAAGCTCCGCCTCCCCGGGTTCACGCCATTCTCCTGCTTCAGCCTCCCTAGTAGCTGGGACTACAGGCATCTGCCGCCTCGCCCGGCTAGTTTTTTGTATTTTTTAGTAGAGACGGGGTTTCACCGGGTTAGCCAGGATGGTCTCGATCTCCTGACCTCGTGATCCACCCATCTCGGCCTCCCAAAGTGCTGGGATTACAGGCTTGAGCCACCACACCCGGCCATGAAATGTATTTCTTAAATAACAAGACTTAAAAGTCAACACTGATTGGGCATGGTGGCTCATGTCTATAATCCCAGTACTTTAGGAGGCCATGGCAGGCAGATCGCTTGAGCACAGGAGTTCAAGAACAGCCTGGGCAACATTGTGAAAACCCATCTCTACTAAAAATACAAAAATTAGCAGGGTATGGTAGCACACACCTTAAGTCCCAGCTACTTGGTAGGCTGAGGTAGGATGATTGCTTGAGCCCGAAAGGTGGAGGTTGCAGTGAGCTGAGATCATGCCACTGCACTCCAGCCTGAGTGGCAGAGTGAGACCCTGTTTCAAAAAAAAAAAAAAAAAAAAAAAAAAGCAACTAGTCAACTGGCTGCAGAATAGATATTACATCAGCAGGCATGAAAACAACATTAAGGCTGGGCACAGTGGCTCATGTCTGTAATCCCAGAACTTTGGGAAGCAAAGGTAGGAGGATTGCTTAAGCCTAGGAATTCCAGGCTGGCCTGGGCAACGCAGTGACCCCATCTCTCCAAAAATAAATTAAAAAAAAAAGGCCGGGCATGGTGCTCATGCCTGTAATCCCAGCACTCTGGGAGGTCAAAGAGAGCAGATCACGTGAGGCCAGGAGTTCAAGACCAGCCTGGCCAACATGGCAAAACCCCATCTCTACTAAAAATATAAAAATTAGCAGGGCATGATGGTGTGCACCTGTAACCCCAGCTACTTGGGTGGCTGAGGCAGGAGAATTGCTTGAACCCGGGAAGCTGAGGGTGCAGTGAGCTGAGATTGTGCCACTACACTCCAGTGTGGGAGACAGAGCGAAACTCCATCTCAAAAATAAATAAATAAGAAAAAAAAAAGAAAGAAAAATAATGGCTGGGTATGGTGGCTCATGTCTGTAATCCTAGCACTTTGGGAGGCCAAGACAGGTGCATCACTTGAAGTCAGGAATTTGAGACCAGCCTGGGCAACCTGGTGAAGCCCCATCTCTGCAAAAAATACAAAAAGTTAGGTTGGCATAGTGGTGTGCATGTGTAGTTCAAATTACTTGGGAAGCTGAGATGGGAGGATTGTTTGAGCCCAGGAGGTAGAGGCAGCAGTGAGCTGAGATCACACCAGTGCACTCCAGCCTGACAAAGTGAAATCCTGCCTCAAAAAAGAAAAGAAAAAGGAAAAATATTGACCAACGAGGTGGCTCAGGTCTGTAATCCCAGCACTTTGGAAGGGCTCACTTGAGCCCAGGAATTCGAGATCAGCCCGGCAACACAGTGAAACCTTGTCTCTACCAAAAAGAAAAACAACAACAACAAACAAACCAAACCAAAACACATACACATAGATAGATAGATGACAGACAGATAATAGAGAGAGAAAAAAAATTAGCTGGGCATGGTGGCATCTGTCTTCGTCCCAGCTATTCGGGAGGCTGAGGCAGGAAGATTGCTCAAGCGCAGGAGATTAACGCTGCAGTGAGCCATGATGGTGCCACTGTACTTCACCCTGGGAGATAAGAGCAAGACCTTGTCTCTAGAAAAAAAAAATAAAAAATAAAAAATAAATTGGTTTCTGAGCAGTAGGTCTCAACAGTGGGCTTATTCAGTAAATCATGCTGTAAATAGATGTGCTGCCATCCAGGGCTTTGTTGTTCCATTTATAGAGCATAGGCAGAGTAGATTTAGCATAAGTCTTAAGGGCCATCGGATTTTCAGAACAGTAAATGACAACTGGTTTCAACTAGATGTCCTAGATGGCATCTTCCAATGTAAGTCTGTTTCTTCTACCTTGAAAATCTATTGTTTAGTGTAGCCACCTTAATCAGTGATCTTAGCTAGATCTAGAAAACTTACTGCAGCTTCTACATCAACACTTGCTGCTTCACCTTGTACTTTATTATGGAGATGGCTTCTTTTCTTTCTTTTTTTTTTTTTTTTGAGGCGGAGTCTCGCTCTGTTGCCCAGGCTGGAGTGCAGTGGCCGGATCTCGGCTCACTGCAAGCTCCGCCTCCCGGATTTACGCCATTCTCCTGCCTCAGCCTCCCGAGTAGCTGGGACTACAGGCGCCCGCCACCTCGCCCGGCTAGTTTTTTGTATTTTTTAGTAGAGACGGGGTTTCACTGTGTTAGCCAGGATGGTCTCGATCTCCTGACCTCGTGATCCGCCCATCTTGGCCTCCCAAAGTGCTGGGATTACAGGCTTGAGACACCGCGCCCAGCCTCTTTTCTTTCTCTTTTTTTTTTTTTGAGATGGAGTTTCGCTCTTGTTGTCCAGGCTGGAGTGCAATAGCGCGATCTCAGCTCACTGCAACCTCCAGGTTCAAGTGATTCTCCTGCCTCAGCCTCCCAAGTAGCTGGGATTACAGGCATGCTCCACCATGCCCGGCTAATTTTGTATTTTTAGTAGAGACGGGGTTTCTCCATGTTGGTCCTCTGGTGATCCACCCATCTTGGCCTCCCAAAGTGCTAGGATTACAGGCACGAGCCACCGTGCCTGGTTGATGGCTTCTTTTCTTAAACCTCATGAACCCACCTCTGCTAGCTTCCAAATTTTCTTCTGCAACTTCCTCACTTCTCTTAGGCTTCAAAGAATTGAAGCGTTAGGGCCTTGATGTGGATAAGGTTTTGGTTAAGAGAATGTTATGGCTGGTTTGATCTATCCAGACCACTAAAATGTTCTCCATATCATCAAGGTTGTTTCACTTTCTTATCACTTGTGTATTCACTGGAGTAGCACTTTTAGTTTCCTTCAAGAACTTTTCCTCTGCACTCACAACTTGGCTGTTTGGCACAATGGGCCTACCTTTCAGCCTGTCTTGGCTTTCAGGATGCCTTCCTCATCAAGCTCAATCATTTCGAGCTTTTGATTTAAAGTCACAGATATGTGACTCTTCCTCTCACTTGAAAACTTAGAGGCCTCTGTAGGGCTATTAATTGGCCTAATTTTATTATTGTATCTCAGTCAATAGGGAGGCCTGAGGATAGGGAGAGAGATGGTGGAACAGCTGGTTGGTAGAGCAGTCGGAACACACAGCATTTATTAAATTCACCATAGTGTTGCCCCAAAGCAATCAGAATAGTAATATCAAAGATCACTGATTACAGATCATCGTAACAAATATAATAGTAATGAAAAAGTGTGAAATATTTCAAGATTTACCAAAATGTAACACAGACACAAAATGAGCACATGATGTTAGAAAAATGGCGTTGATAGAGTTGCTCAATGGAGAGTTACCACAGCCTTCAATTTGCTTAAAAAAAATGAAAATGCAGTATCTGTGAAGTGCAATAAAGCAAAGTGCAAAAAATGAGGTATTCCTGTACATGTGCTGCCAAAGTGAGTGCTATATACATTCTTAACCTGGACCAAGAGCAGTATTCAAAATAACAACCCTGGCCAGGCATGGTGGCTCACGCCTGTAATCCCAACATTATGGGAGGCCGAGGCAGGTGTGGACCACTTGAGGTCAGGAGTTTGAGACCAGCTCCCGGCCATCATCGTGAAACCCATCTCCACTAAAAATACAAAAATTAGCCTGGCGCGGTGGTGCACGCCTGTAATCCCAGGTACTCAGGAGGCTGAGGCAGGAGAATCATTTGAACCTGGGAGGCAGAGGTTGCAGTAAGCTGAGATCGTACCACTGCACTCCAGTCTCGGTGACAAGGTGGGGCAAGCCTGTCTCAAAAACAAAATAATAACAAAGAAACAAAAAAAAAAACAACTCTGAGGATACATTTCTAGCCCGAGGCAACTAAAGCAAGAAATATCTTCTTAATGCACAGACCTACAGTTAATCATTTTACTGAATCTACATACACATTCCACTTATATGATTACATATACACATCAGTATAGACTTACATTCTATACATACGACTCTCCCATACTCAACAAGAAATCACCAAGAGCCTGAATCAAAGGATACCAATAAAACAAACCCTAAACTAGGAAGTGGGAGGGAAAGGAGAAAAGGGATGAGGGAGAAAAAGAAAAAAGAGGAAGGATGGAGGCAGGGTGGAAGCTAATATTAATAAATATTGAGTACCTACTGTATACACACCACCATTTGATGGTTGCTTCTTGGTTTCCACGCTTTCAGTCTTGGCCCTACATCCATTTTTTACACAGCAGTCTAACTGTGGTCTTCGAAACCCTGTGTTATCTGTCCCCTGTGCACCCCATCCTGTGCCACTCCTCTTCTTCAATGCTCTGCAGCCACAAGAGGCACTTTGTGTTCCTAGAATGCTCTGACTTCTTTCCTGCCACAGGGCCATTGAACTTACTCTTTACTATGCCTGAACTGCTTTCCACATCACTTATTCTTTTTTCATTTTTTGAATTTCAACTCAAACATCACCTTCTAAAGGAGTAGCGCCCAGCCACTTAGTAACCCTCTATTTCCTTTATCACAATCTGAAACGTTCCTGTTTGTCTAGTTCCACCCACCAACTTCGAGAGCAAGGACCAGTAATGTCTTGCTCACCACCGCACCTCTCGGGAGTTAGAAGGGTACCTGGCACCTCAGGCACCTGTTAATAGTGGCTGAATGGCTGTTCGAAAGGTTCTTAAATGCATATTAAGGATAAGGACCCTGAGGTTCAGAAACATTAAAGTGACTTGTTCCAAATCCGACAGCGCCAGGTCTGAACCTAGCCAGCTGAGGCTAAGTCAAGTAACAAACGACGAAACGGAAAGCTTAGCAAAAGCAGGGTACCGACAAACACGACCTTAAGTTCCTTCTCTTTATAACTAGGGATATCCACACCTCTCTCTCCCGCCCTGACCGACCGCGGGGCCTCCCCCCCCAGCCCCTGGCCGTGGGAGTCCCTTACTAGGTGGGGATGAGAAGGCATTTGAGGAGAGTCACCCCGAGCGCCAAAGCCGAAAACCAATTGCCAGTCCCCGCGGCAATTGTGAACGCCGCCATTGCTGCGGCACCGCACGCTTCCTACCAACTTGATCCACATCCGGGATCCCGCGCATGCGGAGAAGGCCCACTGAAGCGGAGCCCGCGAGCTGCGCGCATGCGGCGAGCCGCGCAGCCAGTCCGAGGACTGCAGTCAGCGATTTAAACCTCCCGGCCACTTTTTCTTTACAGCCGCGTTTCCCCCCGGGCAGGAAGGGCTTCTGCCCTGGCCTTTGTAGCCAGTTTTAAGTTTTATCGGCTAGTTCATACTTGCATAGAAAGAGTGGTCGTTTGCTCTGAGTCATCACTGTGTAGTATTGGGGATACTTAGGTGAGAAAAAAAAAAACAACGCTAGAGACGTGCATGCACTAGTGGAGAAGTCAGGATTGTTGCCCTAGAGTTACAGTAGATAAAAGTACCATGAGAGAACTGCGGGGGCTCCCAACCTGGATGCCTGCACCGGAGTATTAAATCCAGCTAGAGAATGGCATGTGCAAAGATACAGAGGTGAGAAACATTGTTTTTAGAACTCTGAGCGAGGCTCTTGGCTCAGCTCCTCCTTGAGCGGAACCCATTCTGGAAGCAGGGTGGAGGCTAGTCCTAACGCTTACTGTACAGATAACCTACGGTTCATGTTAAAATTCAGATTCTGATTCAGTAGGCCCAATAAAGTCGCAGATTGCGAAAAGACTGAGGCACATGCAATGGAATTAGACTTGTCTCATTATTTTACTGTGTGATCTTGGACAAATTATCTAAACCTCAGTTTCTTTTTTTCTTTTATTATTTTTTTTGAAAATAGGAGATAAAAATGGTTTCTGGCCGGACGCGGTGCTCACGCCTGTAATCCCAACACTGGGAGGCCGAGGCGGGCGAATCACCTGAGTTCAGGAGTTTGAGATCAGCCTGGCCAACACTTAATTAAAAATTTTTTAAAAAATTAGTCAAGCATGGTGGCGGGCGCCTGTAATTCCACTTACTCTGGAGGCTGAAGCTAGAGAATCACTTGAACGTGGGAGGCGGAGGTTGCAGTGAGCTGAGATCGCGCCATTGCACTCCAGCCTGGGAGACCAGAGCGAAACTCCGTCTCAAAAAAAAGTTTCAGCCTCATAAAGTGGTTGTGAGGATTAAATAAGGATGCATATAAATTGCTTGATATGATTCCAGGACAGAATAAATGCTCAATAATGTGTCAGATCAGTTAATTATCTTGCTGAAAGATGCATAGCAAGTCGGTGACAGTGTCACCTCCCTAATATGAGTTTATGCCCTCCCACAGCTTCAACCGCCACCCATGTGAATATGATGCACAGATTTATAGCTCAGCACTCCTCTCACTTCCAGACCCTGATCTCCAGTTGACTACCTGACCTCACGTAGATGTTTTCGTTTTGTTTTTGAGAGACAGGGTCTCATTTTGTGGCCCAGGTTGGAGGGCAATAGTGCAAACACAGATCACTGCCACCTTGACCTCCTGGGCTCAAGCAGTCCTCCCCACCTCAGCCTCTTGAGTAACTGGGACCACAGGGATGTGGCAACGTGTGTGTGTGTGTGTGTGTGTGTGTGTGTGTAGAGATGGGATCTCCCTATGTTGTCCTTGCTGGTCTCAAACTCCTGGGCTCAAGTGATATTCCTGCCTTAGCCTCCCAAAGTATTGGGATTACAGTTGTGTGCCACCATGCCCAGCTACTTAGATGTTTTAAAGGCACTTTGCATTAATTTTCTATTTCTGCTGTAACAAATTACCATAAACTTAGTAGCTTAAAACAACACAAATTTATTCTCTTACAGTTCTGTAAACCAGAAATTTAAAATCAGTCTCACTGGGCTAAAGTCAAGGTGTCATTTGGATTGGCTGCTTCCAGAGGCTCTGCAGGGAGATGGTTTTTCTTGCCTTTTTCAGCTTTTAGAAGTTGCCTGTATTCCTTGGCCCCTTCCTCACATCACTCCAACCTCCTTCCATCCTTACAATCGATTACTTTCCTGTAATAGCTACGGTCAAATGGGCAGCTGAAGATGATGATGAAGATGATCTTGACACCGAGAAGCAGAATACCAATGAGGATGACCAGACAGCAAAAAAGGAAAAGTTAAAAGAAGGTAAAAGAAGGCTACTCATACTTGCTGTCTCAGTATCTAAAGGTGGTCACCTACCAGTAGAGAGGCCCACCCACTGCAGACAGTGCCACCGAAGGTGACATGCACTTTCTACCACCCATCCAAAACTGTAATGTGAATCTGCAACAGGAGAGGAAAAAAGAACCAAAACTTCCAAGGCCTTGCATTTTTTATTCAAAGCATTTTTTTTTTCTTGGAGATGGAGTCTCACTCTATTGCCTGGAGTGTAGTGGCACAATCTCGGCTCTCTGCAGCCTCTGCCTCCTGGGTTTAAGCAATTCTCTGCCTCAGCCTCCCAAGTAGCTGGGGTTACAGGCGCATGCCACTACACTCAGCTAATTTTTGTATTTTTAGGAGAGATGGGGTTTCACCATGTTGGCCAGGCTGGTCTTGAACTCCTGACCTCGTGATCCACCTGCCTTGGCCTTCCCAAAGTGCTGGGATTACAAGCGTGAGCCACCACACCCAGCCAAAAGCATTTTTTAAAAGAAAAATTGGTCTATATTTTTTGTTTCTACTTTATATCTTTGTACATATTTTTAGAGGTCAGGCATTTTTAACAATCTTGGATGACCAAAACAGCTTTCAGAGTGTTCTTCACCCAACTTCTGACCTTACTTGTAGTGTGATCATGTTCATTAGAATCTCAAAGGAGGAAGAAAAACAAAAAAACGCATAAACAAATGCAAAAATAGATCGGGTGAGGTGGTTCATGGCTGTAAGCCCAGCACTTTGAGAGGCTCAGGCGGGTGCATCACCTGAGGTCAGGAGTTCAAGACCAGCCTGGCCAACATGGTGAAACCCTACTCTACTAAATATACAAAAATTAGCCAGGCTTGGTGGTATGTGCCTGTAGTCCCAGCTACTCAGGAGGCTGAGGCAGGAGAATTGCTGGAACCTGGGAGGCAGAGGTTGCAGTGAGCTGAGATGACACCACTGCACTCCAGCCTGGGCGACAGAGTGAGACTGTCTCAAAAAAAGCAAAAACAGGCCAAGCATGGTGGCTCATGCTGTGATCCCAGCACTTTGGTAGGCCTAGGCAGGTGAGTCACCTGAGGTCAGGGGTTTGAGACCAGCCTAGCCAACATGGTGAAAACCCATTTCTACTGAAAATACAAAAATTAGCCAGGCCTGGTGGCGGGTGCCTGTAATCCCAGCTACATGGGAGGCTGAGGCATGAGAATTGCTTGAACTCAGGAGGCGGAGGTTGCATTGAGCAGAGATCATTGCACTGCAGCCTGGGTGACAGAGTAAGACTCTGTCTCAAAAATAAATAAATGCAAAAACAACAAGTCTTATTTTTTCAACCTGTTTGATATATGTGTGAAACAATGTTATCCAACAATAAACAGGAATCTTATTTTTCTGAGGTTTTTTCCCTAACTTCATTTCTAGTGAATTTTCTGAGTTCTAACAAAAAATGGTAGAGACAGTTGTCATGAATTGTACCCCTTTTCTCATTCTTTCTGCTTTAGACTTGAACATGAGGCATAAAGCTAGACTCAGCTGTAAGGAAAAACTGCCTCATGCTGACCCTGACATCATTGAGCTAATAAACAAATCCCTCTACCTCCAGACTTACTATGTGAGAACACACACACACACACACACGTGTTACCAAAACACCAGGGGTTCCGATCTAGTTCCTGTTGCTTGCTTCACAGAAAGCCAATCACTGAGATGATTATTGCCAAGGAATAAGGCTTTAATCAGGTGCTGCAGAAAAACATGGGAGATAAATCTCAAACTTGGGTCCCTGACTGACTAAAACTAGGTTTATATAGCAGCAAAGAAATGTAATAATGTATTTTTTAAAAAAAGGAACTAGGGAGGAATAAGGAAGCAATCATGATGAATGAGGGGCCTGGCATCTCATTGTCTGGATGCTGTGATCTGGTGAGTTTCAGTTCTTTGATACTTTTTTTTTGAGAGACCTGAAGGTCATTTCCTGAGGAAGGAACTCAGATAAATATAACTTTCCAGCTTTAAGACCAGAAGGGTCAATTTCTATCTTTGTCCAAAAAAAAAACTAAGGTACTATTGGGTTAGGTTCACACATGCCCACACCACCCTTAGGTGTTTAAGCCACAGTTGGTCAGGTTGCCTCTTCTTCCAGCAAAAGCATTTCTCACTGCTCTTGCCAGGTCCTGTCTATTTAACCTCCTAGTTGTCTCTCACATTCATGCATTCCTCTTCACCCACCTTTGCCACTCTAGGCACAATGACCTGCTTTCAGCCTTTGGTACATGCCATGTTCCCTCCTGTCACTGCCCTTTATACATGACCTTCCCTCTGTCATGTTCTTCCTTCTCCCTTTAGGCTAGTTAGCTCTTCATCCTTTAGCTCTTATAGCAAGCACTGCTTCCCCAAGACAACCTTCTCCAACCTCCCCTTATCCTACCCTGGGCACCTGTCAGCTGGATGCAATTTTATACTATGTGTGTGATTATCTAATTATCTCACTAGTTAGTCACTCCATGAGGACAGGGACCTTTTCTGTTTTATTCATTATTGTAATAGCAGCAACCCACATAGCAGCTGACACAACAGATATGCTCTATATTTGTTGAATGGCATGAATGTCTAAAACAGGATTCCAACCCAGTTTCTCCTACTTGAGTCTCTGCTTATCCCCAGTAGCTGGGACTACAGGCATGTCATGTGCCACCATGCTTCTTTGGTTCAGCTTTAAAAAATAAAAGAATTGGCTGCATGCGGTAGCTCACACCTGTAATCCTAGCACTTTGGGAGGCTGAGGCGGGTGGATCACAAGGTCAAGAGTTCGAGACCAGCCTGGCCAACATGGCAAAATCCCCTCTCTACTAAAAATACAAAAATTAGCCAGACGTGGTGGCGGGCACCTGTAATCCCAGCTACTTGGGAGGCTGAGACAGGAGAATTGCTTGAAACCAGAAGGCAGAGGTTGCAGTGAGCCAAGATCGTGCCACTGGACTCCAGCCTGGGTGAAAGCAAAACTCCATCTCCAAAAAAAAAAAAAAAAAAGAATTAAGAATGAAAACAAGTCTCTAGGCAATCAGAACCCACAGAGCGGCAGCAGATTGTGAGATCATCAAAATCTGGACACTCTCCCTTTCAGAGAAACTTGTGATCAGGAAAGCTTTCTAGTTACCAGCAATGGCCAGGAACTGGAGTAGAATGGACTGATTTCATACAAAGAAAAGAGGCCAGGTCAGAAGGTTTATGAAACACTTCAACAATCTGCTCAGATTTTTCAGCTTGAAGACCCCTGTAAAACTGACATTGGCCCTTTTCTGCAATGAGTATATTTGAGACATGGGGAGAAACTGCAGAAAGGGGCCGATGTCAGTTTTATAGGTCTTCAAGATTATAATTAGTTGAATAAGTTATATGTTTTTAGACTTTGGGGTGATTGTTTATAATGTCACTTGGAGGGTAATTAAACTCAGAAAGAAATGGGCCAGGTATGGTGGCTCATGCCTGTAATCCCAGCATTTTGGGAGGCTGAGGTGGGAAGATCACTTGAGCTCAGGAGTATGACACCAGTCTGGCCAACATAGCAAAAACTTGTCTCTACTAAAAATAAAAATAAAATTTAAAAATTAGCCAGGCATGATGGTGCATGCCTGTAGTTCCAGCTACTGGGGAGGCTGAGGTGGGGGGATTGTTTAAGACTGGGAGATAGAGGCTGTAGTGAGCTGTGATCATGTGCCACTGCATTCCAGCCTTGGCAAGAGAGTGAGACCCTGTCTCAAAAAAGGAAAAAAGAGAAAGAAACAGTCCAGTTCCAAGTTTAAAATTAAAAATGAGTAGTATTGCATTTATATGCCATCCTAGCTATTTATTGCTGCATAACAAAACTTAGCAACCTAGAAACATTTATTATTTCAGAGTTTCTGTGGTCAGGAATTAGAGTGGCTTAACTGGGTGGTTCTGGCTCAGGGTGTCTCTTGAGGTTGCAGTCAAGATGACATCAGGGGCTGTAGTCAACTGAAGGCTCCACTGGAGCTGTAGTATCGACTTCCAAGGCCAACAGAAGCCCTCTGTTCCTTGTCACATAATCCACGCGCCTCGGCCTCCCAAAGTGCTGGGATTACAGCACTTGAGCTACCGCCCCCGGCTCCAAATGCCCTTTTCGTTTATTGTATGACACGCTCCTCCTATCCTATGACAAATCCTGCATGACCCAGTTCAAATGATCTATGAAATTTTCCCAAAGCATTTTGTGCGGGTTTCTTTTCAGAATTTACAATTGTAACCCCAGTGACAGCTAAGCCCTCCAAGGTTCTTCAAATCTAAATAAAACTGACTTTGCCCAACCATTTAGTCTCAATTTGACAGCCTGTGGAAGCCTAGGCTTTCCCTTGTATTTCTGCAGAGTCTCAGAGGCACACGTTTTCACATCACCTCTTCTCCTGGACTTCCTACTTCCTCAGTTGTGGCCTGTGTTCTTACCTTATAACACAAATGGGAGATTCAGCTCCTTCACTGCTTTCCAGGCAAAACCTGCTCATACACAGTATTTATGAGTACAGAGACTACTGAAGAGCACAGCACACCCAGCAAATCCTTTAAATCTCTAGGCATCAGGCTGGCCCTCCCCAGTCCTCTTTGACTCTTTGGTCATGTGGTGTCCCCCTGTTGCCCTTTCCTGGTGCAGTTCCAGTCTCCCCATTTCTCCGGTCTTCCCTCATTTTCTGAAGCAACAAACCTCTTCAAAAGCTTTTCTCATGTAGAGTAGTTCCAGGGCACTTTCTGTTCTTGGCCTCTCCTTCTAACCAAGACCTTATGAAGGTGTTATTCCAAACAAGACAATTCCTTTCCCAAGAGGAGTTCTTAGACCAACAGGATAATAATTTTCCAGTCATCTTGTATGTTTATAAGCATGTCTTAGTTCAGGCTGCTATACCAAAGTACCACAGACTGGGTGATTTGTAAACAACAAACAGACATTTATTCCTCACAGTTCTGGAGGCTGGAAGTCTG